GGGCGCGGAGAGCAGGGGTCGGGCGTCGTCGGGGCGGGTGGGCCACCAACTCCTCGGGATCCTTAAGCCGAGTGCGCCCTGCATTCTGAGACCGTGCCCCGAAGTCGGGAGTGAGCGAGGAGCTGGAGAGATGCGGGCGAGGGTGGCAGGTTGTGGCTGGGAGCTTTTCCCTGGGTGCTGGATGTGGACCCCCAGTCTGGGTGGTGGCCTGCAGTGGCTCAAGCCTCTTGGTTTATACGCCGCGGAAGGATGGAAGGGACCAGGGTTGTTTGAAGAGATGCTGGGGCACGGAGTCCTGGAGGTCTGCCGGGGCAGGGAGCCTGGTCAGAGGCAGGCAAGGGTGTTAGTAAGTGGAGTGGAGGGCACCACTCTGCGTGCTCCCTGGTAGGGGTGGTGGGCACAGGGACACAGGAGGGTTTCCTAGTAGGGCAAAGGAGGCTGAGGTGGCAGGTAATGAGTGATCTCAGGGGGAGAACTGACAGGGCTGGAGATAGGGGGTGGGGACAATGTGTCTGATGTCCGGGATCGACCAGGCTGGTAGGGCGTGAGTCACAGTGGGCGCCATGCCCAGCATGAATGCTGTGCTCCCTGCAATGACCTCTTTATGCTCTTAGGGGGGAGGAGCAGGACTCCTGGGTTCTGGTTCCCGGTGTCGCTAACCCACCACGTGTCCAGTTCTAACTTGTGGCCCTGGGGCCATCTGCCCTCTTCCCACCATCAGCTGGCCTTTCTGGATGTCTCTTTCCTGACACGAGGCTGATAACATTTGGAGATAGATCTGGGCCGGGAAAGCGGTAATCAGTGATGCCCCTGTGTCTCCCCGAGCCTCTCCCTCTCCATCCCCTTGTCTCTGTGCCTCCCCCAGAGAGGCAGAAGTGGGGATATGTGTGAGCTGAACCCCTTCCCAGGCTAGTCGCCTTTCTGTTCCCGTTGCTGGCTCCTTCTCTGTTTCTGTGTCTATCCCCTCCCTCCCTGTCAAGATGAGAGCCGGACCCAGTGTTGTCCCAGGTCGGAGGGGAGGAGAGGAAATGTGTGCATCATAGCATGAAGGATGGAGGTTAAATCCAAGGAAGAACTTCCCACAGGGGAGCCACCAGATCTAGCTGCAGATGGGGACTGTGGTGTCCCCTCTTCAGGCAGGGGTGTAGTAGCTGCGGCAGGGGGATTACACACTGACATTCTCAGAAGCTGAGTGGAAGCGTTGGGGGGAAGGGAGACTGGGAGGAAGGAAAAGAGGAAAGGGAGAGGCAGAGATAAGGGAGGGGGTGCCAGTGGTGTTTGGGTCAAGAGGGGACCTGAGAGAAGAAGGCCTGCCCCCTACCCTGGGTTACAGCCAGGCCCCCAGAGACAGGCACCCCCAGGCACCTGGCAGCCCCAGGCAGGATGTGTGCTGGAGGAGGGGTGGGGGGCGTGTGGGGACCTGTCCCAGCCACTTCTCATCACTGGGGCAGCTGGTGGCTTAAACCTTAATCCAGGACACTGGCAAAACAATGGGCCCTGCGAACAGCCTCAGCGCTGAGCCCTGAGCCCGGGTAGAGGGCGTGCAGGGGAGGCAGCCCACACTGGGGAGGAGCAGGGGCTTCTGGTAGGAGCAGGCAGGGAGGGTCCCCCAGGCCCTCTTCTCTCCCTGATCAGTTCCTTGCCAGGTCAGCAGAGATAGGAAATCCAGGGGATTTCAGATCTCAGGAGAATTCCCAGAGAATTTTCTCCTCTGGACTCTTCAGACCCCTCATGGGGGTGTGGGGCTCAGTGGAACTGGAGGGGCTATAGCTACAAGTGGAAGGAGCCAAGGGGTCATCTCTGGGCCTCCTGTCCCAAGCTGGAATCTCAGCCAAGGCCTCCCGGACTGGGGGGCACCCAGCTTTTGCTCCGACCCTTCAGCGGAGTGAGCACTCACAACCTCATCTGGAGGCTTTCCAGATGGATATGATTAGAATGGTCTCCCTGGCCTGGAGCCTCGCTCGGGCCCCCTGTACCTTACACCTGGCTGTGTTCTCTGGGACTGCATGAAGCAAGCTTAACTGCCGCTGTCATGTTTTTCTTTCATCTTCTGAGACTTTGAGGTTCCACCCCCTCTCCCAAGTCTGTCTGACTACAGTCCCATTTCCCACCCCACACAGAAATCCCTAGCAAGGGCGCCTGGGTGGCTCAGTTGTTAAGCATCTGCCTTCGGCTCAGGTCATGATCCCAGGGTCCTGGGATCAAGCCCCACATCGGGCTCCCTGCTCAGCTGGGAGCCTGCTTCTCCCTCTCCCTCTCCCCCTACCCCCTGCTCGTGCTCTCTCTCTCAAACAAATAACATCTTTAAAAAAAAAAAAAGGGAGAAGAAAAGAAAAAAGAAATCCCTAGCAAAAGGGCTGGGCCCAGGGCTGCCTTCCACCAGAAGTGTGAACAGGCTGGGGGATGGATTCATGAAGGAGCGTCTTAGTATCAGTTCATCCGAGTCGCAAGTGTGAACTTTTTCCAGCTGTTAGATGGGGGAGAAGGGGACTTAGTGGGGCAGGGGGAGTCCTCACCCCAGAGCTGGTGGGCTTCTTCCCTCTACACCCAGTTGCCTTTGTTCCCCTGAGGACTCCTGCCTGGTGCCAAGGAGGAGTGGGGGGTTGAGGACTGTCGAGGGTGGGGGTGAAGGGGCTTCTTGCCCTCTGAGGTTTGGATGAGGGCCCTCAGATAGGTTAGGATGCCTGCGGTTGGAGGTTAAAGAATGCTGAGGAAGGCATCCTGGCTTTTCACCATCTTCTCCAATCTGCCGTCCGCCGCCCTGGGCACGCATCTGTCTGACACCCTTCTGTCACCCACTATCCCTCTCTGTGTCTGAGCAGGGAACCTGAAGCCAGAGCTGTCTCTCAGGCGGTGTCCGTGCTCTTCTCTTGCTTGCCCCAGAAGCGGACCTGGGTGCCCCCCAACCCTGGTCTTCAGATATCCTCTGCCATGTCATCTTGGGGAATCCCAAGTATTCCATCGGGCCGGCCAGAGGGCAGCGGAGTGTCTCTCCCACCCCCACCCGGTTCCCCTCTTAGATCCAGGGAACAGCCAGGCCACTGGCTGGGCTCCGGAGCCTCAGGAAGTCCCTTCAGTTGTCTGGTGTCCAGGCCGCTCCCTGTGGCTCCAGCCCCCCACCTGTTGCTGTTGCTGCTCCTGAAGGATGCGCACGTGTGTGTCTGTATGTCTGCGGCATGTGCCGTGTGCCTGGGTCTGTATGTACGTACGTGTGTGAGGCCCTGATCATGTGCGACCGTGTGTGCACGTGTTTGTCTAACCTAGGTGTGCATGCGTATACTCCTCTGTGGGTCCATCCGTGTGCACCTTGGCACAAGAGTGTGCTTCTCTGGGTGTGTGGTGTGTTCCGTCTGCAGGAGTGCATGTGGATGTGTCTGTGTCTGCATAAGGGTGTGTGTGCGTGTGTGTGTGCATGTGAGATGGTGCAGCAGCGGCAGTGAGCGCAGATGGCTGCAGGCACCCCCCGGGCAAGAAGCTGTGTGTCCAGTGTCCGGAGCATAGTAGGTGCTCAGTGAACGTTCGCCCAGCTGACCTGAATGAATACCTGGCTGGCTGGAGGGACCCGGTTCCCTGGAGGCAAAGCCCTCATGAGGGGATGGAGGGGAAAGAAAGAAAGCAGCAGCTTTGGGCTGGTGAGGGTGGCAGAGGAAGGAAGGGGGCGAGGAGGAGGTCAGGAGCAGGGGAGGGGCCTGGAAACCCCCCCCTCCCCCCCGGGCACACGCCCCGCACCCGCTGCCCCAGTCCCTCCTCCCGGCCGCGGGAGGCAGTGTGCTGACTTGGGAGCGTGGGCCACGCGGCCACTCAACCCTGTCTCGCTGTGCTCCCACAGCTGCCCCTGGGCCCGAGAGATGGGTGCTCCCCTGGGCGCCCCCTCCCCTGGCAGGGGCCGCGGACCCTGCTGCTGCACAAAAGTCTCCAGGACGGCTTTGGCTTCACCCTGCGCCACTTCATCGTGTACCCGCCCGAGTCCGCCGTGCACTGCAGCCTGAAGGTACACCCGCTTGGCCCCGCCCCCGCTGCCCTGGCCTGCCTGCGGAAGCTTTAATGAGGGGCGGGGAGGGGAGATCCCTTTGCCCCGCCCCCTCCACAGCCCTTCTCTATGGCCTGGGCGAGGGTCACTGAGGGGCAGGGACAGCCCTGGCTGGGTCATTTGCATTGTGTGAGTGTGGACAAGCTCCTTAACTGCTCTGGGTTTGGTCTTACCAGGAGAAGGGGCAGGGTGGATGGTTCTGGGCAAGGAACTCGTGGGGGGAGCCAGGATGCTCATGCCCACCCCCAGACTCTTGGCCTCTGGAAAGTGAACAACCTTCCCTGAGACATGGAGTTCTGGGGACTCTTTGTCCTCTTTGGCCACTTCTTAGCTGGGTTTGTTGTCCTCTCCCTGGCCTGAGCTCTTGGGGAGTTTGTTTTAACCCACCTCTGGGACTCCTGGAGTGCCCCAGCCCGCCCTGGCCTAGGCTCTGTGCTCTGGAGAGCACCAGGCTGGGAGGAGGGTGCCGTGGGTTCTAATCCCGCTGCAGCTCCTACCTCACTGTGGATCTTGAGGTGGAGTCACTCCTCTCTGGGCTCCATTTCTCCTGCTGTAATGTGAAGGCATTTATCTACTTGACCCCCAAGAGCCCTTCTGGCCCTAATATAAATGTCAGGTTCTCTGAGTCCTGGAACCAGGATTGCTGCGCCCAGCATACAGCGTGGGCTGAGCGGGGAGGGCCTCCCTGCCCGTGAAGGAGGGTGAAGCAGGCTGGCAGGAAGACATGAGGGGGCCCTAGGCAGGAACCAGGGCTCCCCAGGAGGGCCCCGCTCCCTCCCCCAGCTCTCTTCCAGCAGGGGCGGAAACAGATTTATTTTGGAGTCAATGAACCCCATTCTCCCCTTCCCTCAGGGCTGGGACCAGCTGTTGGGGGCTCTCCCTTGGGAAGCTCAGTCCCATCTGCCAGAGAACCAAGGCCTTGGGTTTCACTGTCTGTGTCTGTGGACTTGCATGGCTCTCTGTGTGTAGTTGGGTGCGCAGTATACTGGTCATGTGCATGTGTGTTTGTCTATCTGGACATGTGCATACGGCTATCTGTAAGTATGCATCTCGTCCCTCATCCATGTGTGAGTCGGGGAGCACCTGCATAAACGATTCCCATTGTCTGCAACTGTGCTTAAGAGTGTAAATGGAGGGTGATGGTATGTGAGAACGGCTCAGTCCCCCCTTGACGCCCAAGGACCCCAGCCTCCTAGGTCCCTGGAACCTCCAGTCCTTCCTGTCCTTTTTCCCCAGAATGTCCCTCCCACCTGGCCCCTGCCACCTTCTCTCAGAGGACCCTGCTGAGGGGTGACCGGTACGGAAGCAGCCTGAGTGGTCGAGGCTGGGTGGTAGGCCTGGCTCAGAGAGACCTCGTGCATGTGGGGCGCTGGAAGACCCCAGGCAGGGCAGGCCAGGGACAGGCTCCATCCCATTTCCAGAACCTGCCCAGGGGTGGGAGCCCTCCGGGAGCTCAGCTGTCTAAATGCATCCGTCTGTCTCTGCCACCAGCTCACTCTGCTGTCAGGTCACATCAGCTGGCACGCACACTCCACTCGGGGAGGGGCAGGGGCAGAAGGACTGCTCTCCAGCAGTGCCCAGCGGCTTCGTGTCCTTGGGTGCCAGAGAGTCCTGGGTTTCAGCCCTGCTTCTGCCACTGCTTCTGAGTGGCCTTGGACAAGTCACGCCCTGTCATCTGCTGTGGGATGGATGGTCTGTGGAGCATGGTAGATCAGATGACACCCAGCATCGCGTCCAGCTCTAATGTGCCACGTCCTGCTGCCCTGTCCTGTCTCCCTGACCTCCTTTCCCTCATTTCTGTTTCCTCCCCAAATCCGGTACTCTCCCCCTCACTACGAGGATGATCCCAGAGGCCTCCCTAGTGGGTCTCCTGGACTCCATTTCTTAGCCTTGCTAGATGTTAGAATCCTCTTCCTAACTGGTATTTCACATCCACTCTCTCCCACCCAGGAACCTTCGCTGGCTCCCTCTTTCTCTCCTTTCTACCCCACACGCTTTAGTTTGACTTCTGGCACTTGCTGGTGTTGCTTTCTTTCTCCTTCAGCTCAGCTGATCCAGTCCCACAAATGCTTGCTTCTTTCTGCCACCCAGTGCCCGCCTTCATACACCCCTCCCCTGCCCCAGAGCACCCTTTCCCCTCCCTCCTCAAACTTGCCTTAAAATCCCCTCCCCCAGAGGGGTGCTAATCAGGCCTTCCCTGCCATTCTCTAAGAGCTGATAGCCACTGTTTGCACTTGTCCTGCCTGCTTATCAGTGTCTGCCTGGATCCTCTCTGTGGGTTAGCGCGTTTGGAACGGCCTCCATCGGGCTTTGAGCTCCCCAACGAAAGGGGTCATGGGTCCCCCATTGGATTGGAGGCTTTCAGATGGCTGAGATACAAGGCTATGGGATCAGCAGTCACGAGAGAGGGTTCATATTACTGGGGAATATTGCCTGGGACTTGATGTCCCCACTGACACCCCCCCCCCGGCCCCCTCTGGGCATTGGGCTAGTTGCAGGAAGATAAGAGGGAGGCTGCCGGGTGGGGCAGCTTGAGGGGCCCGCCCAGGTGGAGCTGCTGAGGGCTGGATGGAGGGTCCACACCCACCTCTCTGTCCCCTGCAGGAGGAAGAGAATGGAGGCCGAGGAGGAGGAGGTAAGGAGTGGTGGGGATGGGTGCCAGGGCTGGGGCTGAGCTGGGAACTGTCCTCCAGCTTCTGTTTCTCCCCCTCTACCCCAAGTCAGCCTGGATTTTGCTACCCACCCCCCACTGTTGTTCCAGTCTTTGCTCTTCTCTGTGTCCACTCTGGATATCTGCTCTCTCTCTCTCTCTCAATCCTTCTTTTCTTTTCTCACATTTCTCTCCCTCTGGACCTGTCCATTCCACACTGGGAGCAGGGGGTGCTCTGGGGAGCAGATGGCTCTCTAAGACCTGGCCCCTGGCCCCTGGGAGTTACTCCCAGCCTAGACTGAGGCACAGACAGGGCTGCAGAGCCTGGGGGCTGGCGATAGGGTGCACCTGACCAATGGCTGTCCTCAGGGATAGAGACACTGGGGTTCTATTGTGTGTAAGGGGAACCCTGAGGTCTTTATCTTTTCAGATGTGGGCCTAACTCCCCTGGCTGTCACCCTTGCTAGCCCAAGGGGCCCCTTTCTGCCACCCAGGGTATTCAAGACGGGCAGCCTTCTTTCTCTGCCACAGGGGCTTCTGCTGGGCAGCCCGTCGAGGAGGCCCATGGGGGTGAGGGCAAGAACCAGCTGACTTAGAACAGGCCCATTCCTCTGATGGAGACAGTTAGCTGCAGAGGATAATTGTTGGGGTGTAATGTGATGTCACAAGGGGGGAGTGTCCATCTCGGGATCTGAAGACCTCTGCTTAGGCGCCCCCCCGACTCTGGGGAAGGGATGGGGAGGGAGGTACAGGCATTGAGTGTCTGTGAGCTGCGGGGCCTTTCTGTGGCTCTCCCCAGGTCTGTGGGTGCAGACGTTCTGCCCCGCTGGTCGGGGAGCTCCAGGAGGGCAAGGCCCACGTCTGTCCGTCTGTCTGTATTAGTCTGCTTTCTGGCACAGTGCTGGGGCGCGAGAGGCATTTAAGGAGTGACCCTGTGTGTCCGTGTAGGTTTTCTTCCGCATGGGTTTTTGTTCTGCCAGGGGTGTGTCCTCTTGTCTCTCCCCCCCCCCCCCCCCATGCATCTGCGTCTCTATGAACGTGCAGGTCCATATTTGTGTCCGTGTGAGTGTGATCCTTCTCTGAGCGTGTGTCCCCTGTGTGTGTAGCTGTGCATGGGTGTGATCTTCAGCAGCCACCCCCAGCTAACCTGGCTGATGCCCACCAGGACCCTCCCCCCGGCACCACCGCCTGGAGCCCATGGATACCATCTTTGTCAAGAATGTGAAGGATGACGGCCCCGCCCATAGAGCGGGCCTGCGCACTGGTGAGCTGTCCCGGGTACCCAGCTCCTGGTGCTTCCCTGGGTCTCTTCTCCCTACCCTCTGGTTAGGATGGGATTCTCAGATCCGCGTGTGGGGGAAGCTCCTGTTCTGGTGCTCTTATCCGTACCCGGGACAGGGGTTCTCAGGAAGGGCCTCTGCCACCCCTTGGCCTGCTCACATTGCGACCCTGCCCCTTTTCTCCAGGAGACCGGCTGGTGAAGGTGAATGGGGAGAGCGTCATTGGGAAGACCTACTCCCAGGTCATAGCTCTGATCCAGAATAGGTGAGCGCCCCCTGCCTCCCTTCTCCTGTAATAGCTCCCAGCCCACTCACCGAGTCCCTGCACCCCACCCCCTTGACCCTGGGGGGTGCCCTGGCGACCAGGATCCCTGTTCTCCCAGACCCTGTTGCCTCAGCCTGGACTGACCCCCTGCCCTGTCTCTGTAGCGATGATACTCTGGAGCTCTCCATCATGCCCAAGGACGAAGACATCCTCCAGCTGGTGAGTCCTGCCCTGCTGTCTGAGGTGGAGGGCCACCGGGGCCTGGGGGCATGATACATCCCTTCCCCTCAGGCCTCCCTTCTGCATTGGACACTTTGGGAGGCAAAGAAGAGTGTCGGGGGCAGCACCGGCCCGGCATTGCCCAATCGGGGCTGCCAGGCCCATCCCTGGGCTGAGGCTGGTTGTTGCTTCAATCAGGACTGCTCTCTGTGCTGGGGGAGGGGGAGGCGGCCTTGGCAGGCAGGATTCCTGCCAGGGTATCTGGAAGGAGGGTGGCCCAGCAGGCCCTGCCAGACTGGCACGTTCTTGTCGGCTCCCAGGAGTCTTTTCTCCACACCCCCTCCCTGCTTGGCCCCGAGTGAGCATGTCTCTTGTAGATGTGTCCATACACACACACACACACACACACACTCTCCACCCCACCTTCCAGGGCTCCCGTTCACACCCATGCACCACTCCATGAACCCCATGCACCACTCGATGCACAAGCAGAACACGCTAGATACACAGCCACACAACAGAGCCCCACAGCACCTACCCGTCCTCCAGCTCACCAGACACCGCACGACGCCGTATCCCAGATACGCCTCCCCAGGCCCGTGCAGCGACGCACACAGGCACATCCCCCCACATCCTCAAGCCCCCCAGTACACAAACATCAAAACAGCACAACTGTCACAGCACACGTACCCCGACGTCTCACCACCACGTGAACACTCACTGACGTTACAGAGGCTCGCTGTGGTCACAGCACGTGCGCCCACAGACATCACAGCATGCTGCGGGCCTGGGACCGGCTCGGGACGCACGGGCCAGGTGCCCCTCCCTCTTTGGGCACTTCAGCAACACCCAGAACCTGGCCCAGGGCTGCCACGCACAGAGCAGGCACCCAGACTGCACGCAGGGTACCCTGCCCCCCACACTCTGTGCACACACGCACACACACACTTGCACATTCTCTGTGCACCCTGATCCCAGTCCTGGCCCAGAGCTCAGGCCAGTCCTCTCTGCCCAGTGTCCAGTTTCCTGATCTCATGGGTCTCAGCCAGATGCCAGCTTGCTTGCCCCCAAGGTCACTGCCCCCCGGGGGAAGGCTGAGGGCCAAACCCAGGAGGCCCTGGGAGCCGCTGGGCTGGCTTCTGCCCCGGATGTGCTCGCATAATCACACTAATCACAGTGCCATGCTTGGCACCATGCCCCTCTGGGAACCTCCACCCTCTGACCTGGATTGTCCCCTCGTCCTTCCTGGGGAGGGGGACGTAAGGCTGGAGGCTCAGAGAGGTGGATGGGCTCCCCACGAGTCTCAAAGGCCCTGTGGGTACACTTCCCCCAGGCTGAGGCGAGGCCAGCAATGAGGGAGTGACAGGGCGGCATCTCGGGCTTCCCAGGATCCCTCCGGCCTTCCCGGAGGGCGACGGCAGGGGTGGGGAAAGCAGCAGCCTTGAGCTCTGTTACCCAGAGAGGTCCGAGGTTGAGGTCCGAGGTTGAGGTCCGGGTGGGCAGGCGGCCCCAGATGTCAGCATCTGGGGCCCTGCGCCGGCCCCCCACCATCCTGGGCCAGCCAGAGGGTGGGGCCCAGGCATTCCTGTGGTTGGGAGCCAAGGCTGGAGGCCAATGGGGCCTCGGCAGCTGCTGACGCCACCGCCGACGCGGCGAGGCCCCTCCACACCCATCTCCCCCTCCCTCCTCCTCCTCCTGAGAGAGAGAGAGAGAGAGAGAGAGAGAACGCGCGAGCGCGCGCGAGAGCGCCGGTGGGGGCCGAGGGCGGCCGCAGGGAGGGCAGACTGGGGGTGGGGGGGCTCGGAGGCTGGGCCAGCACGGTGGTCGGTGGGGGTTAGCCCGGAGCCGGGCGAGGGCGGAGGCTGGCCGAGATGCTGCCGCCGCCCTGAGGCGGGGAGGCTGGGGAGCCGGCAGGATGGCAGGAGGGAGAGGTATGTGAGTGTCGCCGGCTGGGTGTGTGGGTCTGAAGGGGGCTGAGTGTGTATGTGGGGGGGTGTGGTCTAACTTGTCCTCATCACTTGATGTGTGTGCCTGGGACCCGAGGTACAGTTATTTGTGCGTGTCTGTGTCTCATTGTGTTTCGCTCTGTGTGTGTGTGTCTTTGGGTGTGTATTTTCCGGTATCTCCGTGTGGTGTGGCACGCACATGCTCGCGCGCGCCCGTGCGTGAGTGTGTCTGTGGGTCTCACCCTCCCAGCCTTTGATACCTCGCCCTGCGATAGGCCCCCCGACACCCATCAAGGGCCAGGCTAGGCCAGGGCCACAAGGCCGCTGTCCCTGGGGGCTGCCTCCTTTTTTGGCTGGGCCTGGGCACCGGCCCTGTCACTCCTCAGCAATGCAGCGTCAGCCTCAGCTCCCAGTGCCAGATTCCAGGCCTGGGGTGGCAGAAGGTGGCCCAAGGCCCCTCCGGCAGTCTGGCCCCTCCCCCAAGCCTGGCCCAGAGGGAGCGAGAGGTGGGCAAGTTCTCCTCACGCCAGCTCCCCGTCCAGGGGATGGAGACACGGCTGGGTTTTCCCAGCCCCAGCCCACCCCACCGTGGACACACCCCTTCATCGGCTTCCCTCTGTCTCCGGCCACCTTGACTGGTCTCCGGTGGGGTTTCCCAGCTCTGCCAGAGGGGCTGTGGGCACTGTTGGATATAAGGAAGCAGGGAGGCGGCTGAGGCCAGTGTGGGGGGAGGACCAGAGAAAACAGATGTTGGAATGTTTGTGGCTAAAGGCAGTCCTTGTCATAAGTCTTAGAGAAATCCTGGCTATTTCTCCAGTGAGAGAGAGAGAAAGAGTGTGTGTGTGTGTGTGTGTGAGAGAGAGAGAGAGAGACTCTCAAAGGCCTCTAATTTCTTTGTTCTCTCCCTCCCTTCCCCCCGACTCTCTTTGGAGCATGCCCTCCCTCTCCCACCCACTCAGGGCTCCCCCTGCTTGGTCCTTTCCCTCAGTCCCCTTCTCTGGGGTCTTGATCTCCCAGGGCTGCTGTAGATCTTCCTTGTGGGACTCGTCCTGCCCTGCTCACCTGCCTCTGTGTCCCCGGCCAGGCCTACTCCCAGGATGCCTACCTGAAGGGGAACGAGCCGTATTCTGGAGAGGCCCGGAGCATCCCAGAGCCACCCCCAATCTGCTACCCTCGCAAGACTTATGCCCCGCCAGCCCGGGTCTCCACCTGGGCCACTATGGTGCCTGAGCCCTTCTCAGCACTGCCCAGTGACCCCCGGAGTCCTGCCGCCTGGAGTGACCCGGGGCCCCGCGTCCCTTCTGCCGCCCGCACCCATCCGGACAACTCTTCCTTGGGGATGAGCCAGCCCCGCTCCAGCCCTGGTGCCTTCCCCCGCCTCCCCTCGGAGCCCCGGACGCCCCGTGCCTTCCCTGAGCCTGGCGGCCGGGTGCCCCCCAGCAGACTGGACTGCCAGCAGGCCTTGTCACACTGGCTGTCAAACCAGGTACCCCGCAGGGCGGGGGAGAGACGGTGCCCTGCCATGCCCCCCCGGGCCCGCAGTGCCTCCCAGGACCGGTTGGAGGATGTGACTGCCCACCGCCCATGGCCCTGTTCCACCTCCCAGGGTGCCTTGAGCCAGTTGGGTCAGGAAGGCTGGCACCGAGCTCGCTCAGACGACTACTTGAGCCGGACCACCCGCTCCGCCGAGGCACTGGGGCCAGGAGCACTGGTGTCACCCCGTTTTGAGCGCTGCGGCTGGGCTTCCCAGCGTCCGTCTGCCCGCACCTCTGCCTGCTCCCCCAGGGACCTCCCTGCGCCCCAGGCCCCACCCCCACCTGGTCTCCAAGGCCTGGACGACATCGGGTACATTGGATACCGGAGCTACAGTCCATCATTCCAGCGCCGGACTGGCCTCCTGCACGCACTCTCCTTCCGGGACACACCCTTTGGGGGGCTGCCCACCTTCAACCTGGCTCAGTCCCCGGCATCGTTCCCACCGGAGGCCTCCGAACCGCCCAGGGTTGTCCGCCCAGAACCCAGCACCCGGGCTCTGGAGCCTCCCACTGAGGATCGTCGCGACGAGGTGGTCCTGAGGCAGAAGCCTCCCACAGGCCGCAAGGTCCAGCTGCCCCCTGCAAGACAGATGAACCTTGGGTTTGGGGAAGAGTCCCCAGAGCCAGAGACCAGTGGGCGAGTAGAACGCCTGGGCAGGAAGGTGGCCCCTTTGGCCACTACTGAAGACTCTCTGGCTTCCATCCCCTTCATTGGTGAGTGATGGTACAGGTGGCTGTCTTGGGAGACTTGGTCATCTGTGCCCTGCTGTACCCCACCCACCTGTCACCATGGGTGGAACTCTGGGTTGAGTGCTGATGGGATCAGTCTGTTTCTCTCTGTCCGTCCGTCCATCCATCCATCCATCCTTCCATCCTTCTGTGCTCTCTTGCATCCTTCTGTCATCCTTTCTTCTGTTCATTTCTCCTCCAGCCATCTGTCCTCCCTCCCTCCCATTCTTCCTTCTCTCCCTTTCTATTCAGCTCTCTGTTTTTACTTCCTTTTGTCTTTCCTTCCTTCTCTCCCTCCCTCCTTCCTTTCATCTACCCATCCACCCACCCACCCACTTGCCCACCTATTCATCATTTTTCTTCTTTCCTTCTCCCTTTCTTTCTCCTTCTTCCCTTTGTTCATTCATTTCTCCCTTCCATCCCTCCATCCTTTCTTTTTTCTACCCTTCCTTTGTTCCTTCCACTCTTCGTTCCTTCCATCCACCCTCCACCCATCCATTCATCCAACAAATATTTGTGTCAGGCACTGTGCAAGGCTCTGTGCTCTCCTGGAGTGTGTGGTCCAGCGGCGGGGACAGATGATGGGACAAGAACAACCCCATGGGGTGTGTGTGTGTGTGTGTGTGTGTGTGTGTGTGTGTGTGATGGGAGTACAGGGAGCTCTCGGAGACAGAGAAGAATGACATGGCCTAGACTGGGGTGTGGTAGCCAAGGAGAGAATCTTGGAGAAAGGAGATTAGGGCTAAGACTTGAAGAATGAGAAGGAGTTAGCCAGGGGGAATGTTGAGGGAGAGAATAGAATATGCCAAGACCCTGAAGTGAGAGAGGCAGGGTACCCTTGCAGGTCACCAGAATGGGTCCAGAGGGGCCGTCAGTCTCTGGGGAATTTGGACTTTATCCTGAGAGCAGAGGGGACACTGAAGGCTTGCTGCCCGGGGAACAGATGTTGGGTAAGGGAGAGGCAAGAGAATGGAGAGGCTGGGTGATTCCCAGGTTTCTGGCCTAGCTAGAGGGTTGTGTCTCACCTCCATATTGGGAATGAGAGTGGGGCAGGACAAGGTTTAGGGTTTCTCACTGTATCCATGAGGGTGTAGGATGGGCTGGGTCTAGGGGCTTGAGAGAAAGACCAGATGCCACATCATGAGACTGGGAGCCAGGAGCCGAGAGGTGGTACCTGGAGCTGAGCATGGTGAGCTCACCCTATGTGCAGTCATGGGAGTGAGGGAGAAGAGGCCAGACCAGGGAGAGGAGACCCAGCCCTGGCCTCCCCTGGCCGGCCTTTGGTCTGAGTAGGCAGACACAGCCTTATTAAGTTCCTGGTCTCGGGGGAGAGGTGAAGCCTTTATTTTCAAACTATTGCCAGTCTGAGGGAGAAACATAGCACTGCCCTCAAGGAGCCCCCAAGAGATGGAGGGAGACAGTCTTTATCTTTAAGAGACTCCCAGTCTAGGAGCCCAGTCTAGGGAGGGTGGCTCAATCTCATGCCTGGGTCACCTCGGTGTGAAGGGGAGGCAGGGGCTGAGCCTCCATGCTCACAGTCTGGGGGGTGGGAGCCCCTTGGCCATGGGCATATTACCAGCAGGGCCTTGGAGGACTTGAGCCTTGGGGATGTGGTCTGGGCCTGGAGGTGGGGCTGGGGGTGGGGGGCAGGCAGGTTTAGCTTTCGGCCACCTTTATCCACCACCCACTCTGCTTGTAGATGAACCCACCAGCCCCAGCATTGACCTCCAAGCCAAGCATGTCCCTGCCTCTGCTGTGGTCTCCAGCGCCATGAATTCAGCCCCCGTCCTGGGCACCAGCCCATCCTCCCCAACCTTCACCTTTGCCCTCGGCCGCCATTACTCCCAGGACTGCAGTGAGTGCTCCCTGAACCCCAGCCCCGTCCTCTCCCTTGCTGCCTGGTCCTCGGGGGTCTCCGCTGGGCCTGCTGCCTGATGTCTGTCTGGCCTCTCCCTGCTGGCTTCTGCTACCCCTGGGGCCCCATGGGTAGAGCCACCTCCTGGCCCGGGGAGCCCCCCACCCCCGCCGCCCTGCTGACCCTGTGGCCCAATGCGGGCGGTTTTGCAGGCAGCATCAAGGCTGGGCGCCGCTCCTCCTACCTGCTGGCCATCACCACAGAGCGCTCCAAGTCCTGTGACGACGGGCTCAACACCTTCCGGGAAGAGGGCAGGGCTCTGAGGTGAGGACGGGGTGCAGCCATCAGGGCACAACCACCCCGACTGGGTGTCCTCTACACACCAGGGCGGTGAGCGCCCCCCTCCCTGGAAGGCTCCTGAGCCTTGGGATTTGGGGGGAAGTCCTCGCCGTGCTTCCCACATTCTTCACGCTCCGTTCTCACTCCCCAGGCGCCTGCCAAACCGAGTACCCAGCCTGCGGATGCTGCGAAGCTTCTTCACTGACGGGGTGAGTGGTGAGTGTGTGTGCGTGCACGCGCGAGCGTCGGGGGGCTGGGGGGTGACGGGTGCCTCCACTGCGGAGCCCAGTGAGCGGGGCTGGTCTCCTCTGGCTCCTGTCTCCCCTCCCCCACCTCCGTGCCCGATCCCCCTGGCCACGTGGGCTCCGTCATCGCTTCAAGACACCTGCACCCTCCCACCCCAGGCCGTGGCCCTTGCCGGTCCCCCATCCGGAACCCCCCTCCACAGCCACATGACTCCCTTGGTTACTTTCTTCAGGTTTTCTCGAACTTTTCTGAGATGTCAGCCTTCATCCCTGACATGTCATGCCTCCCTTCGGCACCTCGCTTTTTCTCCTCAGCCCCCCTCCTGTGAGAGGGTTTATGCACCTGTCTCCTCTCTTGCCTGTGTCCCAGCTAGCATGTGAGCTCCGCAAAGACAGGGGTCTCCCTCGGCCAGCCTGCTTCCCGGGGGTACCCAAAACTGCCCGCACCGGCCAGCACCGGGCAGCATGTGCGTGGTGTCTTTTTTTTTTAAAGATTTTATTTATTTGACAGAGAGAGACACAGCGAGAGAGGGAACACAAGCAGGGGGAGTGGGAGAGGGAGAAGCAGGCTTCCCACTGAGCAGGGAGCCCCATGCAGGGCTTGATCCCAGGACCCCGGGATCATGACCTGAGCCGAAGGCAGACGCTTAACGACTGAGCCACCCAGGCGCCCCTAAATAAAATCTTCTATAAAAAAGATTTTATTTATTTATTTGACAGAGAGAGACACAGCGAGAGAGGGAACACAAGCAGGGGGAGCGGGAGAGGGAGAAGCAGGCTTCCCACTGAGCAGGGAGCCCCATGCAGGACTCGATCCCAGGACCCCGAGATCACGACCTGAGCCGAAGGCAGACGCTTAACGACTGAGCCACCCAGGCGCCCCTGTGCGTGGTGTCTTTAGGGGACAGGGGACACGGGACAGGAGGGGGATCCGGGATTGAGAGTGACGGACAGGCTCCGCACCTGGGGACGCCCTGGGCTCCGTTCTGAGATGGCCTTCGCTCTTTGTGATTATGGACACCCTGGAGAAGCCATCTGATCTCAAACCCTCAGTATCTTCGGTTCATTTGACACCTTGAGGACATTGTCACCTGGCTCGCTCCTTATCACTTCCTCTGCTTACTGAACTCTCCCTTGACCTGTCACCATGTTGACACTATCACTTCCTCCGTTTAACTCCTTGTGGGCAGGACTACCTGCTCCACTAGGTCAGCCTCTGTTGATGTTTCTACTTCCTCTGTTTATTTAACTCCAAGTCAACACAATCACTTCCTCTGTTTCCTTAGTTTCTTCAAGTCTATAAAGTGGTGGGAGGTTCCAGATTGGCTTTTCTAGCGTGGTGAGGCATGTGCTCGGCAGGTCACGGCCTTTCCTCCTTTCTGGCTTCCTCAGCACATGCGTCCCATGACCTCAGCGCCGTGGTCCAGAGAGGGCAGGCGGGGCCTGTGAGGCCACACAGCACAGCAGCCTGGGAGGCTGCGCGAGGCCCATGGGGCTCCTGGCATGCTGGCACCGTGGGAGTCACCCTAAGTTGCCCTCTGTTGTCTCACTGCAGTCCTTGGATAGCTGGGGCACTTCCGAAGATGCGGAGGCTCCCTCTAAGCGCCACTCGACCTCTGACCTCTCGGACGCAACCTTCAGCGATATCAGGAGAGAAGGCTGGTTGTGTTATAAGCAGGTCCTCACCAAGAAGGGGAAGGTAAGGTGCTTGCTGGAATGAGGTGGAGGTGGATGGAAGCCGTCTCCGGCAGAACTCTCCAGCTTCTGCACCCACCCCACAGCCTCTGGAGCCAGAGAGAACCAGCCGAGGCTGTAGCATGAGGGGTGGAGGTTAGATGCCAGGAAGAACTTCCTGGGGGACCTAAAGAACTCATGGAAAAGAGGTTAACCAGAGAGATGGGCTCTGCTGTGCCATGGGTCCGGTCAGTGTGCCTGAAATTCAGACGGAACCACCCCACAGTGATGCTTGGTTGGCAAATCACCCCAAAGATGGACACGGGGGCTCATGGAAAGTAAGGGAGCAAGGCCAGGGTGATTCTTTTAGGGGAGATGAGACCCCAAAAGAAGGCAGAAGTCAGCCTTTTCGGGGTCTTGCAGGACGAGGAGAGATTTCAGTCTCTGTCCCGAGGGCAACTGAAAGCCCTGGGGCCTCTTTCATTCGGCTTCCTGGGGAATGAATTAGAGAGGGGCCGACCTGAGGCAAGAAGACCAGTTAAGAGCCACCACAGCGATCCAGGTGAGCGATGGAAATGGCTGGGCCGTGGGTGACAAACAGGATCCCAGCGTGAGAGGGCGGGGCCCCTGGGTCCACGGAGTAGGAAGGCCTTTCCAGGCTGTGCTGAGGCTGAGGAGGAAGGAGACGCCGCCCAGGCAGAGCTGAGCAGAGTGGTTAGCATAAACCTGGGATTGGCCCGTGACTGCATCATGCCTTGCTGAGGGAGCTTGGGTGACTCAGCTGTCTATGACTCAGTTTCCTCGTCTGTAAATAGAGCTAACAACAACCCCTAGCACATACACCTGTTGCTGGGGATTAAACGAGTTAACCCAAGCAAAAGTGTATGCGGGGCCTGGCCAGGGAGCTCTTCTGCTATGATTCGAATTTTCCGCCCTGCCTTCTAGAGGTCTTGTACCTGGGGAGAGAACATAAGCTTTAAAGTCAGACAGACATGGAGTTCCTGCCTGGCCACTCATGGCCAGCATAAGGCTTTGGGCAGCCTCCCCCGCTCTGTGCCACACTTTTCCGATCTGTAAGATAGGGACAGGGTTATCTTGCACCCTGGGCCGGTGTGAGGTGAAGTGAGCTGGGTAGGTCAGGCGGGGGCGGTCATTCAGCCGTGCCCTCATCCAGTCCGTGGTAATGACCGAGTGCCTGCCGTGCTCCCGGTTCGTGGTCGAGGTTCTGGGTATTTCGTGGAGAGGGAGCCAGGCCGGTCCTGCCTGCTGGGGCTCAGGACGAGCCAAGAAAGCACATGGTGCATAATAGTTGCCAGTGCGTGACTGTCACAGGGGAGGAGCGGAGTGGCGTGGGTGGAGTGACCCCAATCTCGGCGGGGTGCAGGAAGGTGTCCAGGAGGCTGTGACATGAAGGGTGTGTGAGAATCCACAAAGCAGGGAGAGAGGTGAATGCTCTGACAGCGGAGATGCCCTCCTGGATGGTCTGGGGGGTACGGACGGCGTGCTGGGTGGCTTCGAGCCAGGCTGAGGGGAGAAGCTGAGGTGAGGAGTCTGGCGCTGGCTCGCGGGGCCTCATCCCCCACGGCAAGCCTTTGCAGGGGTTCCGATGGGCGTGGGAGGTGTGTAAGCCTAGGAGGCAAGGGTCTGTGATAGGAGAAGATAAGGGCATTGCTGTTGTCCAGGTGAGCAAGGGTGGGGGCCCTGACCGAGGTCCTGGCATGGGGCCGACGGGAAGGGACAATTTGGAGAGATCAAGGGAGGGATGGCCTGGGCTTGCTGATGGCTGGGAGGTGAGAGAGGATGGAGGAGGCAGATGATGGCTATGGGGGTGATGGGGCCTTCCCCTGAGCCACAAGGCACTGGAGGGGCAGGTTTGGTGAGAGGAAGCCAAGGGTTCCTTTGGCGACTTGTGGAGTCCAAGGGCCCTGGGACATGGAGGTGTCCTGGGGAGAGAGGCTCCGGGGGCATGGCACTTGGGAAGGAGTCCATCGAGGTGTGCACGGGTGCGTGGGAGAGCATGGAAGGAGAAGGCGAGAGACTGGCTGCACCTTGAGAGGACATGGGGAATGCAGACCAAGGGGGAAAGCCAGCAAGATGGCAGGAGGGCTTGCCTAGGAGGGACAGCAGGGGCCAGCTGTGTGAGCTGAGGAAGGGGAGCCGGGGTGGCAAACCCTTCCAGCCCAAAGTTGGAGCCTCTCTGAGGAACTGGGGAGGACAGCTGACTCCTGCCCGCCAGGTAGCCTGGTCCCCGGCTCTGGATGGCCCCCGGCAGCCCCACCACAGTGTCTCCCGGGCAGGGAGGGGAGATGGCCCCTTCCTGCTCACTGACCAGTTCTGGAGGACAGGACCTTCCACTCTAGGCTCAGCCAGGACCCGATTTCACTTGTCCCCTCAGTGCTGTGGCCTGGGAGTTAGGAGAGGTGTCCTCAAGTCAGCTTCAAGCCCTTAGTCTGTCCAGGGAACTGATTGCCAGCCACATGTCGTCTGCTCCGGCAAGTCTAGCCTCTCCTGGGTGACCCCCTCCCACTCCCCAGCCTCTTTCAGAGGCCATTTGCTGTCGGGCAGAGGAGGGGCGGGTGTGACAGGTCCCTGCGGTCACAGACCTAGTATTTGAGCTGAATGTAACCTTGGTGACCAGCTAGTACATTTTTCATTTTACCAATAGGGAACACTGATGCCAAGGGAGGGGGCTTGACTCGTCCAAGGTCACCTAGCTGGTTTGGTCTCCAAGGGGCCCCTTGCCACCACTTCACTCTGATATAAAAAAATCCCCTGGAGGGCCATGCTGTCTCCTGCTCCGACGATCCTGTCTGGTCCAGCAGGTGTGTGGTGGTGGGCAGGGCTCATGGCCGCGTGTGGCTGTGTTACCTGCCAGCCGTGGAAACTCCTCACCTGGTTTGTTCAGAGGGCAGAGGCCCATGGTGGGTGAGGAGTAGTAGGTAGGCCACCAGCCCAAGGGAGGGAGCCCTCGGTCTGATGGGGGAGATGGAGCCCCTGCCTTCAGCGTGCTCCGGGGATGATTCATTCATTCATTCAGTGAATATTGATGAGCACTTACCCCACGCCCGTGGATGCTCTAGGCTCTTGGATGTGGACGTGAGCGGAGAGACAAGCTCCCTGCCCCCAGGAGAGATCCACAACCAGCCCAACTGGAGGTTGCAGTAAGCACTCAGGGAAAATGAACTGGTGTGATTGGCTTCAAGTTTGGAGGTAGCAGGGAGGTGCCTTTAGAAAAAAAGGGTCAGAGAAGGCCTCACTGAGGAGGTGATATTCGTGACATTTGAGCTCAGACCTAAAGGGCAAGAAGGAGACCACATGGAGAAGTGAGAGAAGGGGCTCCTGGCAGAAGGAACAGCAAGAGCAAAGGCCCCAAGAAAGGAAAGGGTTGGCTTGTTCACTAGAGAAGGCCCCTGTGTCTTGACACAGTGAGAAAGACGTTGGTGGAGAAGTTGAGTTTGGAGAGGGAGGGACACACCACAAAAGTTCTTAGATTTGATGCCAGTGGTGGCAGGAACCCACGAGAGGGTGCTAAGCAGGGGAGAGACATGATCTCATTTACATTTCAAAATGGTGGCTGCAGGGACGCCTGGGTGGCTCAGTTGGTTAAGCGTCTACCTTCGGCTCAGGTCATGATCTCGGGGTCCTGGGATGGGGCCCCTCATCAGGCTCCCTGCTCAGCCGGGAGTCTGCTTCTCCCTCTGACCCTCCCCGCTCTCGTGTTCTCTCACTCTCTCTCTCCCTCTCTCAAATAAATAAATAAAATCTTTAAAAAAACAAAATGAGGGCTGCAGGGGTGCCTGTCTGGCTCAGTCGGTAGAGGGTGCATCTCTTGGTCTCAGGGTCATGAGTTCGAGCCCCACGTTGGGTGTAATTACTTAAAAAACATGGTGGCCGAAGCTGCTGGGTGGAGAGTGGATTACAGGAGGCAAGGGTGGGGACTGGGAAGGTTTGTGTAGTTGTCCAGGTAAGAGGTGGTGGGGTGGACAAGGTGCTGGGTAGCAGGAAAGATGGAGACACGTGGTATTTTGGAAGCGGAACAGCTGTGACATTCTGATGGGTTGGATGTCAAGGGTGAGGAAAAGGGAGGGGTCAAGGGCAACTCTCAGGTTTCTGGGCGTCTGGGTGGATTTACTGAGCTGGAGAAGTTGAGCAGGGGTTGCTGTGGAGAATAAGTCTGATGGCAAAAATCAAGTGCCCCATGGAGAGCAGGTAGTGTGCAGAGTGCCTACGGGACATGCAAGTGGGGACACTGAGCAGGGGGTGGGAGGTGCAGGACTGTGACTGGGGGGGAAGGGGGGGATGCCAGACCAGGGATACATTTGGGAAACACTGTCAGCAGACAGATGGGATTTAAAGCCACAGGCATGGATGACATCACGGGAGAGGCATGCAGGGAAAGGGGAGCCCAGGACAAAGTTCTGGAGCCCCCCCTCCTTTACGGCAGGGTCTTAACCTCAACTCTAGTGACATGTGGGGCCAGATGATTCTTTGTTGTGGGGGGCTGTCTTGGACATCGGGGGATGTTTAGCAACATCCTTGGCCTCTCCCCTCTAGATGCCATAGTACTTCCCCAGGTGTGACAACTGAAAATGTCTCCAGACAAATGTCCCCCTGGGCACCATTCGCCCCCGTTGAGAACCACCGGTGAGAGGATGTTGTGGGGAAGGAAACCAGCGGAGGAGACCGAGAAGGAGCCAGTGGAATTAGGAGGAAAAACAGGGATCCTGGGGTGCCAAGAGAGGGTTTAGAGAAGGAAGGAGCGGCAGGCTGGGCCACATGCCTCAGAGAGGTTAAGGAAAGGGCCGGGAAGGACGGAGAAGATGCCCCTGGCTTTGGCAACATGGGGGGCCTGCGCGGCCAGGATACTGGGTAGAGCCTTGAGCGAGAGGCCAAAGAGCAGGGAGAGCAGGTGCAGTGGACGATTCTTGACCAGTTTTGCTGTGCAGGGGGCAGTGTGTGGACTAGGAGTGGCTTTACAAGGATTTTATGTAAGGTGGGCCATGCTGCGGGGGGCCGCGGCTTCTGTGGGGCATTGCGGATGCCAGATGCCCTTGATGGCAGGATTGAAAGGTGCTACTATTGAAAGGAAGATTAGGGACCCTGGGGGGTGGGGACACGGAAAGGATGGGTGGGGGCGTCCAGGCGGCGGAGCGGCTGGGCAGGAGGTGGGGCGGGGCCCCCACCGCTGTGGCCGCCCGCAGCTCTCCTAGGCCCCCCACCCTCCCGCGGGCTGTGGGGGCGGGGAGGGCAGGCCTGGCCTCTCACGCCCTCCCCTCTCCCGTCTCTCCCCCTCCCCCTGTCTCCCTGCAGAAAGCGGGCGGTGGCCTGCGCCAGTGGAAGCGGGTGTACGCCGCGCTGCGGGCGCGCTCGCTCTCGCTGAGCAAGGAGCGGCGGGAGCCCGGGCC